GGGGGCTGCACTGCCTGCCCCTGTCACACCTGATGGTGGGACACCGCTCGCGTTGCTCATCCTCACGTTCCGTGTTCATTAGTTCATTCACTTTGATTAATGAGAATTAAAGCAGTCATAACATGGTACTCTGTTCTCGGTGGGAAGAGGTGCCGACAGGCTGGCTCGTGAAGCACACGCCAGTCTGCGTTTCGACGGACTGGGATGTGTCGTGTCCCGGCGGGGATCGGTGCGTTACTTCTCTCCGAACCACAGCCCATCAGGTTCACTCCTGGCATCCAGCCCCACGCTGTGGCTGCTGGGGGCGGGGGGGGGGCCATCCTGTCCGGTGACAGATCTGTGTCTCTTTTTGATGGCAAAGCACTGAGCTCACTTTTAATCCAAAGGCCTTTTTAAGATGAAGCAATATTACCAGAAGCAGGGGGGCAGCTGTTTGGCGCGCTGGGGTTCTCAGCTTGTCTGTCTTCTCTCCATTTGACCGTAGTGCTGCATCCCCCTCTCCCTCGCCTGGGACCCTGGCACGCTGTTGGTGAAGAGATCCGAAAGAATTGCCTGGGAAGCAGCTGTTTTTCCAAGGAGCAGGGAGTGATTTATTTGGTAATGATAAAGAAAGGAGAGTTGCAGAGTTAATCACGGCATAACAGAAATATTTCCTTCCCAGTCCAGCAGAGCACGGCACCCTCCAAAGCAGGATTAGCGGGCAGGAGTTAGCACGAGCTGCAGCGTATCACGGTCTGTTTTGCTTGATTTAAATTTACTGGGGAGCAGTGACCTCCTGCTTTCTAATGACGCCTCACTGCTCAGACACCCAGTGGTGAGCAGGATTGAAGTATTAGAAATAAAGTCAATTTTTAAAATCTGTAACTGAAATCTCAAACAAATCACACAAAACTTGCTCTCCCCTGCGTACTGCCCGTGCCTTGGTGGCGGCTGTAGCCAGGAAACACCCCCGGTCTGTGCCATCTGCCCGCGGACAGGCACGGGCCCCAGCAGCCGCCGTGGGCTGGCGGCTCCCGACGCTGTAACGGGGATGATCTCGTTCCCTGGGTGACTCGCACGGCAGCGCCCATGCAGACAGCAGCCCATCGCCACCTGCTCCCATCTCTTGTTTTCTGCCCGAGGAACTTTGGCCATTGTTTTAGATCCTGGGACGCAGCGTGCGCTGGTTTCAGGGGCGTGCCCTGGGGTCTGTCCGTTCCGTGTTAACTCAAGCTTTGTCTGGACGTGAGGGAAGTCAGAGCAGTGCAATCCTCGGGCACAGTCATTCCCATCTCAGACGGATCTCCCACTATCATCCAGTTTAAAGATTGTTCTAGTTGCAAACTAAACTGAGAAAGTTGTTCTCGTCTCGAGAGCAGAGGTTTTGCAGGTATCACTGGATCCCTGCTGTTCACACCTTGACTGTTACCGGTGTCATTGTCCTGGGCTGACACGGCTGCGGAGGACGGGGCAGGGGATGATGAGGGATCTGACAGGCTCCCAGGCTTTCAGCCTGCTGCAGCTGCCGCTTGGAGGGCTGTTCATGGCTCCTCTTGTGTTCTAGAACCATCACCAAACCCGGCCGCGGTTCCAGCCTGGTCAGTGTTACGCGCGTCCCCTGCAGTGTGTGGGCTGAGGTTTTCCACGCCTCATCCACCTCCTGTGAGGTGCTCGGGGAGTGCAGGAAGCTGCCGTTCCCCAGCAGTCTTGCAGGAGATGCGCGTGCTCGGCTGCTGCTGTCCCAGGGTGGGACGGACGGTGACCGCAGAGATCCCCGTGGGTCCAGACTCGTGTCGGGCAGCGCAGGCGTCTTGTGTGATGATGGAAGTTTACGGCTCTGTTCAGTGCCTTAGTTCTATTTTAACGGATCAGCACTTTTCTTGGGCTACTTTTACTCTATTTCTTTTTAAGAAAATAAATCTTTTACCTGCATGTCTTTGATTCTAACACATGCTGTGAGCTACTAGATGCAACTCGCTGGAACAATCTCCACAGGGTTGCGAGAGGGCATTAAGTAGTTAGGAAATCATTAGAAATAACGGGCCTCAGCGTAATCATCCCTGTAAGCACAGGGCGACATAAAACCTCGAACGTTTTGCACGTTCTGCAGGGCTGGTTATTGAATCAAGGCTTTGAGAAGGGGAAATCCTACAGCCCCTGGAGGAGCGTTCCCTCCGTGGGATCAGCCTGCTGCTGCCGTACTGCTGAGCTCCTCCCGGCAGTCTCCTCTCTTCCCATCGTCTGACCTTCCTGCTGTTCCTTCCAGCAGGACAGCAAACCTGCCTTTACCCTGGAGGGGGGAGTAAACGGGGTGTTGGGACGTAGCTGAGGGCATTAGACGGTGGTTCCCCAGGCATTAATTTAATAGCACTCTAGTAAATGCTGTCATAAAAAAAATCCGAGAGAAAATGTTTTCAAAGCCTATTGGCAAACTATGTTTATGGCAGTGAAAGCAACTTGAGTAAGAAAAGATACTCGCATTTAAACTTTCCCTTTTGGGCCGTGTCCAAGTCCTGCAGCACGAGAACTAGAAATACCAACTGATCCTCGGGGTTTAACTTCCCAGCGCAAACCCCCCGCGTAGGAGTTACTGTGATGGAGGAAGAAACGTGGCTCCGGACGTGGTTCAGGTTTTGAGAGGGATGGGTGGTACAGGGAAGGAATGTGGTGTGACAGTTTCATCTCCCTTCTTAGATCAAGAGGAAAGACCAAGACGCTCAGCAGCTAACGCTGGGCAGGGGAGTTGCACCTGTGTGGCAGTCAGCAGTGGCTGATGGGCAGCAAGGTCCTGGCCAGGTCGTTAGCAGCCAGGAGGAATCCTCAGGCGGGTGTGTGACCGTCCCAGGGCCAGCCCCTGCCTGGCAGGCACGCGGCCGGCGGCGGGAAGCAGGGTTTGGGTGTCTCTCCTCCGGGAAGGCTCTACCGCTGGTGCCCTCGGAAAGCACCGCGGCTCGGAGAAAAGAAGGGGGCTGAGGTTTTTTCCAGAGAAGTGCGTGCACGGCCAGCAGCTTTCATCACTGGCACTGTCTCACCGGGGTGCCTGAAGCTGCCGGGAGCTTTTCTGGTTTTCTTGGGAGTTCTGCTCGGGCTCAGTTGAGCCCCAGCGGCTCTGCTGGCTTCAGGAGTGAGTGGAGGGTGCTTTTTTCTCCAGGGCTGGGGCTGGTCTGAACTTCCCCAGTCCCCGCTCTGGGCGGCTGTGGTGGCGGCAGGAGGGAAGCGAGGGCACGTGGGTGCTGCATCCTGTGACGATGGG